TAGGCGCATTTCCTTGGTTCATTTCTATCTGGAGATTGATTAGTAGAGATGTAGTTTTAAGGTCATTGTGTTTAGTTTGATAAAAGTCTCACATGATAGAAAGCTGTGACACACATCAGTACAAGCAACTGTGATTTTGCTTACACTCCAGTATGTATGCTGCATTTTCTTTTTGTTTAATAATAAAGATTTTTCTATTTTATACCAGCTTTTTGCAGTGTTATTATTTCACACACACACTAAGAACATTCAGTCAGTCAAAGTATAAGATTCATAATTACACTCTTTATTTCCTAGCAAAACTGCTGTTATTAGCTGGTCTGCTTATTTGATACTTGTCAGGAAATCAGTTTTTACTTGAAGATACCACACATTCTCAACTACACAATTAATGATTAAGAAATACAAAATTTATCAATGAAATGATCAGAAGAAAAGGAATGATGCTTACCAAAGGTGTATACAGGAAACCTGATGAACAGCAAGACGTATCTAGACTCTAATTAAATATTAGAAAGAAGTATGTTTTTAAAATTCCCCCAAGTTTATTTTACACACTATGTTTCACCGGGTTTACGTAGCATCATCAGGTGGAATACAAGAACTGAGACTAACAGAATCTAATTTAAAAGAGGATCATGTGAGAGTCTATAACCAACAGTAATCTACAACTATAACATCCCTTCTCTTTTGTATGTAGAACGAATTTCCTTACTTAGACCCAGGCTAAAAGTTTATTTATCTGTTATGGTACAGGAGGGTTATGTTGGCGTTCTCCAACTTCCACCGTGACACTAGAGTCAGAAGACATAGATTGTGTCCACACACTCAGGACAATGGAGAAATCATCACTTCCATATAGATCATTGGCTGTCTTCCAAAAAAAATAAAAAGAGACAAAGTGAACAGATTGGAAGATCAATGACAGTATATGTTGGACTTATGGCATGGAAATAGTGTAATCTTGGGTATTGAAAAAAAAAGGGGCTATGATCTAAGAGTAAGGCCTCCAAAGACATACTACTTCCATCAATATTTCTACTGCCTCAAAGTGGACTATATCCACTAAAGTTTCCAAGTATGGCAAAGGAAGATGGCAACTGCCTAATCAAATTCTTCTCTAGGCAACTGATATAAAGAAAATAGTGTAATGGTCTGACCAATACAGACATGGATGGCTACAGCTTCTGGTAGCATAGTGAGTGGAATAAGCAATGGAGTAAGTTGGCTGACAAACCATGTTACCCACCTCTCTCCAGGAATATGGCTGTAACCCAATTTGTTATTGTACATTACGGAAAACTGCCAGTGGTGATAGAATTGGCTGATTTTTTGAAATGTCTCCTGTAAAGAGATGCATACAAGATGGTAAGGATCAATCAATGCTTTGATGATATCCATATTAGTGCAAAAACCTTGAAAGTTTGGCTGTGTCACTGTAGCTATTTTCACTTACACTGTTGTGGAGATCTAGATGGAAAGCTTCTTTGTGGCTTCCCCTTATTAACAATTATTTGTTATTAATAGTAGATATTTTTCTTGTCTTAGGATAATGTATGTTATTGAAAAATTCTTTATCATCTGTACCCCAATCCATTGAGAGTGATCTCAAGTATCAAGGATAGGAAACACAGGACTGAAGTAATGTTGGTTTAATTGTCATTTATAACTATCATGGTATTTAAAACTGCAATAAGCACTAACTATAGAGCTATGGCAAGAGGTTTTGAAGTGTTTAACGTGAAAACATCTGAGAAGATTTGAAATATAACCTGTCTTTACATTGGCATGTAGATGTGTAGATGTAATCACTAAAATGAGAACATTAGTTGGTTCATATACAAAATTTTTCTGAAAGGAGATTTACTAGGTAATTGATATGCCCTAATTACACAGTTTAGCAAAAATATCCAATTGAAGGATGTTAAAGAGACCTCTCTTAACACGTTGGCTGCCATGTGTCCCACCAATGGGTCACAGACAATTATGTTTAAAAGCATATAGTTTGGGACACTATGACTGCTCCTTGGCACCTTTTGATGGTTTAATTTTATTTATACTTATTTTATTATGTGGCAGCCAATGTGTTAACAACAACTTCTCTTGATGAATTCAAAGTATTGTGGGGGTTACCTCAATAATTATTTGCCCATGAGTTCACTGTCTTGTGCTTGTGATGTTTCGATAAGTAGGTACCCAGTTCTTAGTTTTTATTTCGGGATCAAGACACTTTAAGTCTTTTTGTATGAAAAACAGGAAATATTTTAGAAAGTGTAGTTTCTGATAAGAAATTTAAAATCACAGACTGATGCACGGGATTAAGTAGATGATGGTAATTATGTGCTTACAGAGTCAATCTACGCGTGGTTGCTTTTGGTGATTTGTATCTTGTTTATTGATAAATCCATAAGGAGAAAGAAAAATTCAGTGCTCACTGATCCCACCTATCAAGGAGTCCTACAAGTGGACATGCTACACTATGAAACTCTCAACATCTTAAGAACAGAACAGCAACACCAAGGTTTTGTGAGCACTTTACCCAACAAAACATTACCAGAACTATTTGGTCACAACAGCTACTAAGGATGTTTGATACTGGAACTTAAGCTGACCTTACCCACAATTGACTAGCCAACTGACTTTGGGGAGGGGAGGATCACTGCAGAGTCACCCAGCTACAGGTATTCAAGGCCAAAGTGGTGTGTTGGATTGACCCAGTTACCACTCAAACACCAGTATCTCCCTTGCACAGGTTGTTATGCATGGTAAACATGTGGGTGGATGTTAGGATTCTAGAGAAAGTAGCTGCACCATCAGAACCTTCCCTGGGAGGTCCCCTAATGACATACAGAAATCTATAACATGGGGTCAAAGGTGAGGACCCACACACAGTAATAAAGAATGAAGTAGATTAAACACAAATGAGCAGCAAACAAACAAAAATTATCAACTTTTACTTTTGTTTGATTAAAGAATATAAAAACACTTGTAAACAATATAATATTGTGATAACAGTAAAAATAAACATCCTTAACCCTCAGTCATGACCATTACCCTGATACTGCAATACTGACCATTTAACACCAGCTTGGAATAGTATGGGAATAAAGTGGAACATGAAAGATCTGACAATTAAAAGAGCTTTTTTACCTTTTTTTCTAGACAAATATTTGAGAAATTTCATCATATAAAAGTCAGCAAAACATGGCAAAGTACCTTGAAATCAATTAAAATGTAGCAACAGTAGATAATCACACAAGATGATATGTAGAGATGTGGAAATTACAAAAGCAAATTCCTTGCTTTCTAATCTTAAACCTTCCTGAAGATAGTAAAAGCTTTAGTAGCTGACACTTAAGTGTATTGGTTTAATAGTTACAAAGAAGTAAATATTAAAAGACATGAAAGATATCTTAATACTTATTCTAAATAACAAATATCTAAAACATAACAGTAAGTATGATAGATAAATAGAATTATAAAAAACTAAACAGAATAAAAATGACATAAAGAAATGAAAACAGTAAGTTCAGGACACTAAGCATGTAGCTAGTTTTGAAACTTGTTAGGTACAGGCAAAAATAAATGTGGTTGAGGGCTATTAGTTTAAATCTTTCTCTAAACATCTACCTTCTTCCATTCTTCTTGTGGTAATGATATAAAAAATTCTACCTATTTAAATCATTCATTTATTTTTTTTATCAATGATTAAGCTTGATTTTTCCTACTTAGAAATGCAATTCTTTTAAGAACGTGACTTTTGCAATAATTTTAAAATATATTGTGCTCTTTTTTGATGTAACTTTGTGATTATGTTTTCCACTTGTGTTTCTTAAAGCACACAAGTTATATTACAAATTTCTGAGAGTTAAATATTTACTATACTTGCAATTTGAAGATAATACAAGTTATTTTGTCATTGCTGTTTTATATACCTAGCATGAGAAAACCATAAAGTATGAAAAAATAAATTTCAAAATATCATTACTTTGATGCTTAAGTTAGGAAAAATAATCAAATTAAGGCTATTTTCCAATTCTTCCTGTTCATTCACAGAATATGTAAAATACAGCTGTGCAGTTTGAGAAAAGGAACAAAAAAAGATTATTGAAACTTCCTACACAATATGTTAAATATATACAATACTTTAACAGGCTGCCTTCTTTGTTTTTCAATTTTACAAGTAAGAAATAATCTCAAAATATTAATATTATGAATATACAATTTACAAAAAGCTGATTACAGATTCAGCAGTCAGGAATTTCCATGTCAGCTTACTTATAAATATAAACAATCAATATTAGAGTAAACGTGACAGTGCAATAAAAAGCAATCTTTGACAAAAGAACTAAAATCACAGTTTCACCTTTATTAAGTTACAATCAAATTGTTTGAAAGCTTTTTTAGAGAATGTTTGAATAAACATTAAATAAAAATATTTATAAACACAGAAGTCACTTCATATTTGTTCTTTAGTTTTCAGATCTTACTTAGTTTCTAAACTGATCTCCAAATTTTCACAACCTATCATTTGCAGTTTTAAATACTTTTATAAATCTACTGCCACCTCAACGTATAAAACTACACATTTAAAAAGTTCTGTATTTAAACAAAGAAAAAAAAAGATCTCACAGCAATCACCATTTTACACAAACTTTAGCTAATGTCCTTGTTTCTTTAGTCCACTTCCATGTTTATTTGTAAGCAGTTAAACTTGCTTGATGTGGACACAGACTATTTGAAGTCTTAAACCATTTTAAATATGAAAAGCTTGGAAAAAGAATCAGTATAAAGAAAAGTTAATCTGTGTATTAATTCAAATCTTTTATCATACATGTGCAAACCTAAATAACTCAATTTAGTGTACTGAAAAGGGATATAGCGAAGGAAGGGTAACTTTAATTAAGTTATGCCATAGGTTAATGACAAAAAATAAAATGAGTTCATATGTGTTAGCATGTATCATTAATGGGTTTGGAAATTAATGAATTAATTTTATGGTGAACAAATAAAGGTAAAATTAATGTTAATTAATGTAGTAATTATGTCAGAAATATATATATACCATATATTATTTTCCTATTACCGGATTGCCTAAGCAGAACTTCATATTGTAAACTTGCAGTGATATCCTACCAGTAAGTTGGTACCAGTATCTGTTAAAGAAGAAAATTAGAGTCAAGTTTAAATTTATGAAAAAAACAAAATTCCAGAGCTATCAAATACAACAAAATCAAGTAATTTTATGCCAACACATAAATGTGGTGAGATAGGAGCAACATAAAAAAAATTTCTTAAAATCTCAAACTTATTTCTATACTTCATTTCTTATCTCTATATGGGTCAGACAGATCTATCCAGCCCTGACACTCAATTACATGTCAGTTAATTCTAAATCTTTGACATGAAGATAAAATATCAATTTTGAAAGACTAAAATACTTTGTAATGAGTATTTTACTTTAAACCACTATTTTCACTACGGTCCTTAAGAGGTAAAAATTCGGGAAAATAATTTATTTTTTAGGGTTTTAACTGGCTTGCACAACACAGTATCAGTTAATTCAAGACACAGCAGTATGTTGATTTATAGTCATAGCACAATCCACTGCCTCTAATAATCAAAACACAACAATACGTTTACAAATTTTAATGTTATTTCTCACTATAATATACTCTACTTTAATGTGGAGACTCAAAACATTTCAATATATTTTTTAACTATTACTCCATGCCAAATTTTGAAGGACTTGTTGATATTTGGTAAACAGTATTGATAAAAAATTGGTCAAAATATTAGATAATTATACTGAGCTGGCTTGTAACAGAGAGTTCCCCTCTATTCATCATATAACTTATGTAGTAAGCTGGCTAGTATAAATGAATTGTGAAATAATTAAGATGCAGTGTCTCCAATAATCACAAAACAAGTATGTCAACTTGTACTAGACAGTATTTCCAATAAACAGACATGATAGTAAGCTGGTGACTATTAAAGAATGCCCATATAATCATATGATGCAAGTTGAATAACTTGTATAATGTCTCTTTCCATATAACGTGGATAATGACTCCTGTATTTAGAAAATTACATTAAAATGACTCTTGTCAGTACTGTTTATAATAATCAAAACTTGTCGTCTATTGATAGATAATGCCAACAACAAACCATGTTGTTACACCACAAACTGTTAGATAATGTCCTTAGTAATGTATTTGCTGTATTGAGAACATTAATTTCTTGCCTCAGCTTATAAAGGAGCAAATTCTTTTTTTTTTTATTTAGAGGTTCTATTCACCATTGGATCTTAAACCAATTGGAATGGACACAACATAAAATTCACCTACAACATGTTCAAGTATACTTCACTTTGTGGGTGATCTCATGTTAACATGTTCTTTCAAACTGAGTCAGTAATTTTCTTTTGGTAGACCCAATACATCCTTGCTGACAGTAAGGACAAATAAATCTGTAAACAAAAGAAGATGATTGTAAAACTGGAATTTGATCCTTAACTGTAAGGCCACAAATAGGTTTAAACACACACTTTACTTGTATCTTCAGATATACTGTATGAATGACATTTTTCAGCTGATTCTTAATTATCATAGAATATTTACCCATATAAGATAAACTAGTAACCAAAGAATATTCACGTATATCAATTATACATGGTATATTAACACTTCGGTTATTTAACTAATTATGAAGTATTCTACCAATGAGAAAACCTGAAAAATCATTTTTACACAAGAACTCTTTGATATTCATAAATTCTTTATGTAAATACTCATACGTGATAGATATCTCATTAGCACAGTGAAATAGTATTTTCACTAAATTTTCTTTAAAAATACTCAGAATAAAACTTGCAAAGTTAAAATGCAAGCCTGTGAATGTTCTTTCGTGATCTACACATTTGAATTGTCTGCTGTTGTTACATGTTAAAGTGTCCAGTTTATGATCCTGCTAAAGTGTTAATATACCTTGTATAACTGATATACCCAAATATTCTTTGGTTATTAGTTTACCTTATTCAGGTACATATTTTTAAATAACAATCAGCTGTAAAATGTCATTTCCAGAGTATATCCATAGATACAACTAAGGCATGTGTATTAAACCTATTTGTTGCCTTCAGTTTTTCTTTAAATTCAAGAACCAAATTCTGATTTCACAATCATCTTTTGTAATTTACAAATTTAAATGTCCTTGCTGTCAACAAGGCTATATTGGTTCCACCAAAAGAAAATTAGTAAAGTGTGAAAGAACATGCTAAGCTATAATCACTCACTAAGTCAAGTATATTTGAACATGTTGTATGCAAATGTGATGTTGTTGTTCATTACAAACTGTTTCAGATCTTATCTGGGCCACTGATAAATAGAGCTCCAAATAAAAGAGAGTTTATTAATTTATATGCTGAGGCATGATATTAATGTTTTCAAGTCAGCAAGTACATTACAGGTGAAGCTAGAAAAAATTAGTGAACAGTAAATATCCTCAATAATCTGAAACTAAAAGTCAGCTAATGATATACAGAATATTAAGATAATCATTTGTAATCAAAACACACTGATCACTATATTCTAAACACACAATGGACACACCAGTTAATTGTCTAATAACAGTTGTCCAAGTTTGTTAGTGACCAAGAGCATCACTCAAAGGTAAAAATATAACTAACCATCACAGCTAACTTCATTTACTGTCAATAGAGCTCAACCAAATGCCTATTGTCAGGTAGTATCAACTATAGTCAGATTTAACAGTTTGGTTAGGTACAAATGTTCAGAATATTTTAGTCAACTGGTTTCATCAACTCTCACCTGTAGCCACAGCAATTCAATAAACTGACTACTACCACACAATTTCAACTGCAGTCAGAGTACTTAATTCAGTTATAAGTACTGATAAAAAAAGCATATGGCAAAATATTTGCAAAATAACATGCAATAACTGCCCAGAATTCTACATCGGAGAAAGAGGAAGAAAATTGGAAACCAGATTG